AATATCTGGAAAGACCAACTGGACAGGAAAAACTTTCAAAGTTATAAAAAATTGAAGAGATAGATGGTGGGAAAAAGAAAAGGCCCTTAACTGGAGTTTTGGTTTGAAACATTCTCTTCATTTAGACACCCTTGAAGTTTTATATGTAATTTCCCAGAGCAACTTGTTTGAATCAAAAACCACTTCGGAGGCCTGATCCCTTTTTAACAATATTTGTCAGTTTAGGATTATTTTAACAGCAACATAATTTTACAGATTTTTGATGTTATGGGGCCAGTGTCAAAATATCTACAAACCAGTGGCCTTCACTTCAAGGTAGCATGGCAAATGGATGAACATGCAGTTGATCAACTGAATAAAATTGATGTCAACTATCTAAAACAAAAAGCTGAAAACTTTGCAATAAACACCAATGAGTTGATGGATGAAAGTGATGTTCTCAACTCCTTGGAAGATGAGACTACGCTTCCAGTTTTAAGAGTGGCACAAAAAAAATGCTTGGCTGGAGAATCTTCACATGATGAACGACCTAAAGATGAAATGCAATGTTTTCAAGCTAGTGTGCTCAGACCAATTCTGGACCAAATCATACAAAGCATGACAGAGAGATTTTCAAAAAATAAGCAATTGGTCATGGATTCCCACTACTTGGATCCTCGCACTTTTCAGAAAATTAGGATAGATCCCAAAGAGCTAGATGGAGGGGCACTAGAGAAAATGTCTAAGTTAGCCAAAGTAAATGAATGTTCTCTCAAAACGGAATTAATACGTTTTGCCAACTTATTTCCAAATCTTATATGATGTATTTCTGAAGATGAGACACAGAAAGTGGAAATTATTATTGATGATGAGGAGGAGGAGATTAATGACTGGATTCCACCTACTGACAAACTAGTTGAGGTACAAAATGAATCAAAATGCAGTTATTGCAAACAGTGCTTTCTTTGCTGTCACAGGTTGTTGTTAAAATACAACCTTTATTCTGCAGCTTATGAAAATCTCTGTCACCTATGAGTACCAGTTGACCCTTTATTTTACACAAGTGTCATGCAAAAGAGCATTCAGCAAGCTAACACTCAAGACCTGACTGCGAGCCACAATGGGACACGAACTGCAAGCATTATACCCTAATGCTCATGTCAGTGGAGAGAGATCTTCTGGAACTAGTCCAGTTTCCAGATGTATTGGAAATTATTGTCAAACACATTGCTAAATACCATATCCAATAGCCTGCTGAAAAAGTTCCAGTCAATACTCAGTGCACATGTCTGGAAACGCAAGCCCCCCAGGTTCTCATACAGATGGCCTGGCTACCCTTTCACAAACGAGGGCTCGGTATGCCAGATATAGCTACATACTACAAGGCATTGGCTCTTACTCAGGGTTTGGCAGTCCTCAAGTGCCTTACACCACCCCATGGCAAAAAATGGAAAATGCCTGCCTATACCACAATACACTAAAAGCCTGTTGTGGTCCCAATCATCTACAGCCCGCACCAGAAACTACACCTTGCCATGCACAAGATTTCTAATTATGGGATGGGGGGGAACGACAGTAGACCTAGTGGAACGTAAAAAACTACTAACTTTAGCTAGAGTGGACAGACTAGTCTGGCCTGGTAGAGTGGAAAAAATGGGGTAGTTGACAGAGATTATTCTGTGGGGTTTAACTTTGTCGAATAATAGGCTTTCACACAGACATTCTCTACTAGTAAAAGTAAACCCCATAATGGCTTAGAAAATAAATGTATGAAAATAGGAATGTGAAGTCCTACACATACTAGGAGATCGCCTGTGGGATTGCTTGACACAGTATCACTTTATTAGTGAAGGAGAAAATTCCAAATAATTAATGTACACAGAACCAATAATGTGCAAGTAATAACGAAAACATACATATATTTCTGAAAGTGCAAATGAAGCACCTTGGACTGGGTCTAAAACGTCAAAGAGGGGTGCTCCCCCTACAGATAAACACAGGTAAAGAAAGACATAAGTAACAGGCAGAAAAAATCAGGAAAAAAAATCTGAAAAAATTAGGTACCTGCTGACTAAGCAGTGAATTGGAGGAAGGATCAAAGTGAACTATTAAAATAACATATCCACCACATAAAAACTGGGAGAAAGTTCAATTAAAAATAGAAACTTGTAGTGAATAGTGTCCAGTTAGAGTCTCTGAATTAAGAGTTCATGAGGTACAATTCAGCAAATTCTATTAGTAATTACGTGACAGCTAATACGATACACTTCTGTTATTAGAAAGTAACAGAAGCTGGGATGTATCCAAAGCTGTTATATTATAACTAAAATTTGGTATGAAATAATCTGGTACCGATATGTCTGGTTTCCCAAAGTTTGATGGCATAAAAATCACTACTAGATCACAGAAACAGATCTAGATTGATAAGATCTTCTCTGAGATCTGCAATACAGAATGGACAGCCATAGTGCTCTCAATAAAAACTTTGATAAATAAAATACACTCAAAAGGGTGCAATGTAGTAAAACAAATGTAGGGTCCTTAGGAATCCACAAGATCAACTGGTAGCTGGTGGTATATTGGTAAACCTCCTTCCGGATGGCTGGGAGATCGCGATGTAGTGTAGGAGATGAAATATCCTTTGTGTGCGTTCCACTTAGTTCAACCGATCTGCATTCCACTGGGACCCGGTATCTGGATGCTCTTGCGGCAATTGCCGTAAAGCCTTATGCGTTTCGTGACTCGGCAGGGTCACTTCATCAGAGGCTGGTGTAGAAACTGGAATCTCCGGTGCAGCTCATACCGTTCAGTCTGTGCTGCCTCAGGACGCGAGCTATAACCAAATCGCTCTCATTATGCTATAGTGGACCAAACAACAAAAATATGAAAGAGAAATTTCCCTATATTCTACAATGGGAAAATGACCTAAACATAGACATAACACTAACTGAGTGGTTACAGACTATGCATACAACTAAAACAGCATCTCATAGTTTATATCACTGGGAATTGTATTGTAAAATACTCATGAAAATATACGCCAACTACACACCTACCTGCTGGAGATGCAGAGGTGGACTGGGTACACTCCTACACATCTTTTGGGAATGCCCCAAGATAGCACAATTTTGGCAACAGGTGGAACACGGCCCTCGGCTCCTCGCCCTGTGTGATGGCACCCACCCGGTGCGACCGTGCCGACGAACTGAGTTTACCTGCTCAGCGGTGAGTCGGGAGCCACTCCGCCGGGTTCTCCTGGCTGCCTGACCATATTAAAGAGGGCGCCGACCATGCGGTTTGTGGCCATATATAGCTCCACCCCCAGGGTCACATGACCGTGCGTGTGATGTCATGACATCGAGGCACACACACGTTCTGGGGTCAGAGGTCACCCTCTGACCAATCACAATCAAAGGAGGTATATTTAAATCCCTGAAGTTCCCTAGTTCATTGCCCTGTCTTGGTTCCCGAGAGAGCGTTTTCTTGTCCTGTTTTTGATATTCCCGGTATTTTGACCTTGGCTATGCCTGACTATTCTGATTTCTGGTTTCCCTAACTTGGCTTGTTTAATGGTATTGTATATTTCTTGCTTCCTTGACCTTGGCTATCCCTTGACCATTCTCTGTCTTTAATGTAATAGTCCGGCCATTCTAAGGACCAGTTTACGTTCTATCATTTTCGGTTCTGTCTATGTAGATGTTACATATTTATGCATGCTGTACCTCACTAGCAGTTGTGACAACAGGTTTTAAAGGACGCACGTAGACTTGCCGTTCTCGCCACAAGGCTATCTATTACATCTCACACCAACACTACATACAATCCTCCAATTGAGTGGTGATAATTCACATTCTGATGGCAGCGAAAATAAGTATTGCTGGTCATTGGAAAGGCAGCCACACCCTTCAATACAAAAGGTAACTGATAAGGTCTCCTCCACATGCCAATCTGAGAAACTATCTTACCGTATTAGGGGAAAAGGAGAATGTTCACGGAAAACTATGGCGCAGATGGCTGGATGCCAATGGCTGAGAGGAGAAACGTTAAAAAACAAACAAAAAAAACCACAAATTGCTAAGGGTATCTGCCAAACCTCATGCCCATACAACTTTCGCAGTCCATGGCATATCTGATTCGTGTCCTCTTGATAGAGATGAATGCTGCTGGCTACCCATTCCCTCTACGTCACCCCCTTTTTTGTCTCTCTAACCCTACACTTCCCTCTGCATTACGATGTTTCCCTCATCACATGGCCATCACCACTGGTAAGTACTATAGGGCTAGTACAAGCTTAATGAGACCAACAATGCTACACCATGCAACATACTTCTTCCTGTATGGAACAGAGCTGATGGCACAACCTATTTAGTTATGTCCCAACAATGCTTATCATTGTATCTCATTGTATCTCATGTCAAAAGTATGCCTAGATGATAGACACAAGTGTTTAATTACGAATGTCGGTTGTTTGTGTACATTATCTATTGCTGTGGCATCCCTATAAACCTATGTTACCATGTACAATGTTGATTGTAACCTGATGACTCATGTGATGTATGTTTTTCTATGCAAAACTTTAATAAAAATTATATATTCACAATAAAAGAAATCACTTCATGGGAAAGTGTTCTTGGGAAGCCAAGTTGTATATTTATGTACCCTTTAATTGTACTTTTTATGTATATTGTCTAATTCAATAAGGCCTGACTTCTTGTTTACCATGAGGTATCAGGGCTGCACTTAGCCAGGTAGACTTCAGTGTGAGTTTAGGTGAAATCTGTCAATTCAGGTGAGTAATATCTGGATCATTGGGTAGAGTGAAGGTTGCTGTTGTTGGCAAGGTCTCAAAAAATCTGAGATGAGATTGTAAGAAGGCGGGATGGCTATTGGCTAACATTCTGCAGTTTGAGCAAGAGCTAACAAAGATGGCTTTTTATGTTGTTTTGTATGTTGTCTCTTCCCATTCTTGTGTATATTGTGTTTTACTGTTTTACACTACTTTTATTAACTATTATTATATGATATTCCTGTTGATTCTATGGTTATTTAGTGAATATACAATTTATAGAATTTAGTATTGATTACTCCACAATTTCTATAGTAATACAAGGATAAATTTTTTTGTTTCAGTGTAATTTCGTGAGGATCTGGTGAAGATATTCACAAACATCTGTAGGTCAAGACACTTGTTTGAGTCTATATTTTGTTTATGACAAGAGTTCTGTTTTTGAGAATCAGTTCATGTTGGACTTCACTACAAAGAAAGAGGAATCAATTAATTGTGCTCTGCCGATCATAAGTTTTTATTGTTGTTTCCTGCTATTTAGAGGTAGTGTAAAGTAAGAATGCACAATATTCACCTTCTGTCATTATTAAAATTAACATTACTTCTTCATGAAAGCTAGAATGTGTTATTTGGTTTTCAGTTTGCTACAAATAATTTAATGAATCAACAAATGCAATTTGTGTTTTAACTTGCTTTAAATACGTGTTTTATATTTCATTTGGTGCATTCATTAAAATTCTTTAGCTTAGAGACAGTCTGATACCTTTTAAAGAAATTATGTTGGGGACTTACTGGTTACAATGCCTGCCTGGGGCCAGTCTAGGATTAATGACATAATTGTTTTGTTTTTGTGTGCAAGTGTACCATAGTCTATTCGTTAAATATAAACTAGCATCACAAGTTCAGTGGATCTCTATGAGTGTTTTGATACTTGCTCAGGGAAATTATTTTACTGGTATAGCGACCAAGATATGCATATTGCTAAATACCATTTTAGCATTCCTTAGCATGAGTTTTTAACACAGCGAGCTCCAGT